AAGAGGAATGAACTTTAATTTAACTTTCCATTCCACATACAAAGTAGACTGCGACACCTACCTCTGATTTATAAATCTATTATGTAATGAATCTTTCCTCATTTAATGTTTAAACAACACAGTATGTGCTGCCTTCCCATCTTTGATTAGCAGCAAAAGACTATTTGTGCTATAGTGCCTATCCTCTTAAAACTCGTAACAAAATCATCACAGAGTTTTGCAAAGAGGAAAAGCTTGCAGAAATTAGAGTGATGGATACCACTTAGCTCATAAATGGAGAGCAGTAGAAACAGATAACTTCTGGCTCTGGCTGAATGAACATAGTGCAGTTCCTAGGATCTACAGTATCACAAGACATCTCAGGCTGGAGGGGACCTTGGAAGACCTCCAGTCCAACCTCCTGTCTAAGGAGACACAGCTCTGAAGCTAGGCCAGGCTGCTCAGAGCTTTATCCAGTCAGTTCTCCATGGATGGAGGTGCTACAACCACGCTATGCAACCTGTGGCACTGACTGTCTTTGTGCAGTCACAAAACTTCAGGCAGGACAAGCCTTAGTGCTACAGCCTCACCAGAGCCTCTGACCACCTCGGCAGTCCCTGCTGATCCTCCCAGCTTCACTGAGACCCCCTGCAGGTCTTTTTGACAGAGCTGCTCTCCAGTCTGTCAACCCCCCACGCTGTTGCCTGTACATGCAAGGGGCTCTTCCTTTTCAAGGGCAGGAACGTGTCATTGTTAAACTCCGTAAGATCTCTGCTGGCCATTCCTTTTGCCCATCTAGGGGCCTCCAAACAGCAGCTCTGCCCTCAAGTAGAAGACATTCCTCTAATTTGCTGTCACCTGCACATTTAATCAGAGTACACTCTGACACGGTCTCCAGGAGACTGATAGATATTTTTAACAGGAGAGGTCACAGAATACACTCATGCAGTGCTCCAATTGTTACCAGCCTCTTGGTAATTATGTCTGATTAATTACAAACCCTCTGAGCCTGACCATCCAACCAGTTTTTTTAATGTAGCTAGTTGCTCATCCATCTAGTCTATGACATCCTACCTTGGATATAACATCATGGTGTCAAAAGCTTTGCTGAAGTCAAGGTAAATTAAATACTGTCCTGATGCCTACAAACCCAGTCATTTTGTCACTGAAGGCAATTAGGCCAGTCAAGCATGATTTACCACACATAAATTCATGCATGCCTTTTCCCTCATGTGATGAGAAGTATTTTCCAATAGGATTCACTCAATGATTGACTCCAAAGTGACACTAGGGCCTGGAAGCATTTGTAGGTGAAGACTGAGGCAAAGGCAGCACTGGTTACCTCAGCCCCATCTGCGTCTTCCATCATTAAATGACCAGCTCCATTTAGCAAAGACTCAGCATTTTTTCTTATTTACATTTTTGCTACTAATGTTGCAGCAGAAGCACTTCTCCATTCTCCAGATACATGCTGCACAGCTTCCTCCTGTGTACTGCCCTTTCAAGTGACACTACTAGCAGTGAAACACAAATGTGGGAAAATCAAAGCTAGCACTGAATACTGAGTTTTGGTGGACTCCAGCCTTCCACTTGCTTCATACTTTTTTTTCTTTTCTTTTTTAAGCACCATGAAGCAGCCCTGAAAGTTGATTACAGGCTAGTCCTGGATTCTTTGGCCCCTCATTGCTGGCAATATCTTCAGCTATATGAGCAATTTTATATAAAGCTGTATGGTTATGTGCTTTGGTACTACTGGAGCTGAAGCAACTGCACTGCAGAGTTTGTCATCTAAAGTAAAACTTGGCATAAGCTCTCTGCTAAGAAAGAATACTATGACTAGTAACGTGCTGTGACAATCATGTCAACATTCAGCAGGTGTCTGAGATCCTTTTTTGTATTCATATTGCCATTTCATTTACATTAATGCTGAAAGTTCTCTGGGGCAAGGATCAGGTTTTTACTGTGCTTGCACAATGATATGCTTTTGTTAAGAAACCAACCCTGGTTATGAACCAGGATAAAGGTTACAACAGATGGCACACATACATGGTAATACCATAACTAAATGATAAGAAACCTTTTTTCTGAGTATATTTCAGTTGTTGAAACTAACTCCTTAGAAAAGACCTCCTTAACAGAAGATAACATGGATTCAGTTGTAAAGGCTGACTGAAATAATCAAGTAACAATTGTTGGTGACATGGACAGTGGGACTGAGTGCACGTAGAGCAAGTTTGCCAATGACATCAAGCTGTGTATGATCACAAAATCACAGAATCATTTAGGTTGGAAAAGACCTCCAGGATCAGTGAGTCCAACTTTTGACTGACCACCACCTTGTCAATCAGACCACAGCACCAAGTGCCATGTCCAGCTGAACACCTCCAGGGACGGTGACTCTACCACCTCCATGGGCAGCTCATCCCAATGTTTAACCCTTTCCATGAAGAAATCCCACCTCAATAAGCTGGAGGGAAGGGAAACCATCCAGAGGCACCTTAGCAGGCTTGAGAGGTGGGCCTGTGTAAACCTCAGGAAGTTCAGTAAAGCCAAGTGCAAGTCCCTGCAGCTAAGTCAGGGCAATCCCAAACACAAATACAGGTTGGACAGAGAATGGATTTACAGCAACCTTGAGGAGGACTTGGGGGTGCTGGCACATGAGAAGCTTGACATGACCTGGCAATGTGCACTTACAGCCCAGAAAGCCAACTGTACTCTGGGCTGCACCCAAAGCAGCATGGCTAGCAGGTGAGGGAGGGGATTCTGCCCCTCTGTTTTCTTCTGGTGAGATCCCACCTGGAGTACTGTGCCCACATCTGGGCACAACACAAGATGAACTTGAACCTGTTGGATAAAGTCCAGAGGAGGACCACCAAGATGATCAGAGGGCTGGAGGACCTCTCCTATGAGGAGACAGAGTCAGGTTTGTTCAGCCTGGAGAAGAGAAGGCTCCAGGGAGATCTTATAGTGCCTTCCAGTACCTAAATGGAGTTACAAGAATCCTGGAGAGGGACTTTTCACAAGAGCATGTAGTGACAGGACAAGGGGGAGAGGCCTTAAACGGAGAGAGTAGGTTTAGATTAGATATAAGGTAAAAATTCTTCCCTATGAGGCTCTGGAACTGGCTGTACAGAGAGGTTGTGGATAACCCATACCTGGAAGTGATCAAGGCCAGGCTGGATGGGGCTTTAAGCAACCTGATCAAGTGAAAGGTTCCTGCCCATAGCAGGCAGTGAGTTAGATTGAGATGATCTTCAAGGTCCCTTTCAATCCAAACCACTCTATGAACACGGTGAAACAGAGTAGAAAAGAATAAAGCTGTACAAAATACGAGCTCAAAGAAATCAGGCTTTATTAGAATGATAGCAAAGAGAAGATAAGCAAAGGACTTCAGAGGAACATCAAATAGCACTACCAACGATAGATGGCAGAGGTATGAGATTACAAAAAAGTAGCCTGGTACCAGAAAATGAAGCATACTAGTAAAATATTTAAGCTCCATAGAGACTGTGACTGAGATTTTTAGGCAGATGATTCAAAACATTTCATGCTAACTAAATGCATCCAGAATCCTCCATACCACCAAAGATAGTGCAGTTGTCAAGGAGAAAGTGTCGTGATTACAGTTTAACTACTGACTACAACTTTGGCAAGGAAGGGAAGTATAGAACTACAGAGCTGTCATTCCCAGTGCTTCAGCTTTATGTTCAAGGCTTTACGAAGTAGTATCAAGGCAGAGAAGAATCAATTAAGGACTCTCAACAGTGTCTAAGGGACTGAATAACAAACCCTTTACTCACAGAAATCCTCAGGCACATTTAGTTTAGCTGTTATTACCGTATTCTCAATTTCTTGAGGGTCAGTACACGCTCGGATGCCCCTGTATTGTCTTAACATGAACATGACAACAGTAGCTTTATTTTTGCACCATTAAACACTATTTCCTGTCGATCCTTCCCACGGAAGACGGAGAGAGCTCCCACGGCCGCGGGAGAAGGCACCACTCACGGCCCGGGCCCGGCCAAGTCCCGCCCCGAGGGCGCCTTCCACACCTCGGCGGCACCTACGGCCACGTCCCCGGGGCCTGGGGCCCAAGCGGGGCCGGGGTCCCTTTCCAAGAACCGCGGCCGGGGGCTCCGGAGCCCCGCCGCCCCGGGCCCGCCGCCGTAGAGGCGAGGAGAAGGCGGTAGAGGGGCCGCCACCCCGTTGCCGGGAGACCCAAGGCGGGTGAGAGGGCGCGAATCCCCGGCGGAGGCGCGGCGGCGCCCGCGGCCCGCCCCGCGGGGACAGAGGCAGGCGCGGCGGCCGCAGCATGGGGCCGGTCCCGCTCCCCCGCCGGAGCGCCGGGAGGGGCCGGTGCCGCCCGCACGGCGGGACCGCGGGCGGGCGCTCACCTGTCTGCTTCTCCCGGATCCCGGCCGCCATCTTCCCGCGCCGCCGGCCCGGCCGCCCCGCCCCGCCTGCGCAGCCGCTGCGACACGTGGCGGGCCCCGGGCCGGGGGCGGGCCCGGCCGGCTCCGCCGCTGCGGCGAGCCAGGAGCGCCCGGTGACGATTGAAAACACGGGCCTGTGCTTTGCCCCGGCTGCGAACAGCCGGGCACAACAGGGGGACAACAGGGGCCGGCCTCTTGCACCGCTTTTCTATTGAGTAGGTGGTAGGTTATGGTCTCGGTCTGAAGTTTCAAGAAGAAATAACTGCAAGAGCTTTGATACGACCACCTCCTGACTAAATGAAAGGAGTGATGGTTCAAAACCAGGGGTCTAGCTACAAATGAAGTCGTGTAGCTTTAGTCAGTTAGTTTGCCTTCTTTGCCTGAGGCCCCCTGCTTTCATGGCTTACAGAAATCCTACTCAGGACGAGCCCCTTTGCCCCAGCTCAGCTTTGGACACAACAATATCCGGATAAACATGCCATATACACCTCTGGATAAATCTATGGGCACCCAAATGAACCTACAGACAATAGTGATAACACTTCTAGGGCTAAAGTCCATAAATCAACAAAATAAAAACACAGAAGCTACGTATTTAACCTTTTATTGCACTTTGGACATTTACACCGTATTCCCCACAATTAATGATTATTTCAACACTGATGCTACACCTGTCATGTAAAACATTGCTTGAATATGCAACAGTTCAGGCACTGATCCTGCAGTTCAAGTTAGAGCTAAAAAAATTTACAGAATTACATTTTGTTGCATAACATTCTAAATACCAAAACGTTAAAAAGAACATTGTTCATGTAATACAAATTCAGAGGGTTCTTTACAAACGTTAACAGTTTAAAAATTATTTTCTGTATACATATGATTTGACACTTCAAAAGCTTTTTTGCATTTTAATTTTTTCTTTTGTCTAACTAGACATACGCTTACGTAAGAAACAGTAAAGTTTTAGCTTTAAACATGCTTTACTATATAAAACAGATTCAAGATAAACTTGAAAAGTGTATTTTGTAGGGTTCAAAGTTGTAATTCTTTCTATTTAAATCAGATTTTCGGATACTATTTTCAAAATGCATATACAGAATGTGACTGTGAATTATTAATTAACACTCAAAACCTAGTGTTTTCAAATTCCAGGACTTAATATCTTCATGAAAATAATCAAAACTGCAGCACACAATGGTTTAAACTTTTAGTATAAACAATTTTTTTCTACTTTGGACTATATTTCACTCTTAAATCAGTTAAAAAGGCTAACAGCTTTTTCTGGTAAGAATCCTCTGAATGGGTAAAAATACAAGTCACAGAAATTTCTTATTCCTTGGTTTTTCAAACATAGAGCTAAAATACTTGAGGATTTTTTAAAATATACACACATTGTTAAGGAGACCATTCTAAACCCACTAATACTAATATATTACTGTTTAGTAGAAAATTATCACTCTAGAAAATAAATAGCTTATTTGATGTACTAATTCCAGATGGAAACGAAGGGTTTGATGCAGAAACTGTGGGGTGAAGTTCTTTGGCCAAACACAAAAAGGACTGTAATAAGTTCTTTTGTGGTGCTGACAAATCTTATAAAAGATGCAGCTTCTACAAGAATATATTTAATAAACAACTGATGCATATACAATTATTCTCCCTGTGTTACAGAAATACTGAAAGTAAGCAGCCTCCCTAATTTCCAGGTGTGCCTCAGGTTATGTTTATGAAAAATGAAAATTACCCCACAATATTGCACTTCAGTGATCTGCTACAACAACAAAAAACCTACAGTCCTTATAGCTACATAAACTGCTCTTACAATTTCATGACAAGGGAGGCCATTCTGTGCTTGGAAGTTAGCCTATTCAATGGAATTCTAATGAACAGTTCAAATACATTTATGACTGGTTTGTATAAATAAATGCTGAAAAGGAGGAAATTCCTTTCCAAAGCAGAATTTAGGAATACAATTTGAATACATGAAGTACTATATTGGAGTGTCTAGACAGAGCTGATCAAACCCAAAGAAAAGGAAAAGATGACTTGTCCTGAGGGTGTACATGTCACTACTAGAAAATGGGAACAAATTCTGTGCAAGAAAAACCCTTTCAAGCAATATTACATACTGTAATATGTGATTTTACAAATTCAGTGTTTGGATATAACATTGTATAGCAGATCATTTTAAAGTTAACATTTTTTACACCTGGCATATAGGTTTGGTCTGCCTTTGTATAAAAGCCTTTCAACTGCTGAGTTTAAAAGAAATAATAGGTGTGAACTCTATTTTTGTAATCTCAGGTATGTTTTGAAGCCTTATATTCACATTATTTTATTATTTCTTTCTCCATTTAAGGTTTTAAAATGCAGTTTATTTAATTCCAGGTTCTGAACAATTTCTCTTGCCGCTGCAGGTACCAAAAGTCCTTGTCCTTTAAAATTAATCACACTCTGCTTGCTTTTGTAAAATCTGTACATCTCAGTTGGAAGACTAACATTACAGAACACATTTATCTTTAACTAGCAAAGAAAAACAAATACTGCACTCATTTTTAAAGTATATCTGCAAGAAACTCGTTGTATTTGAAAAATACAAACATACAATACGAATCCTTATTATGTAAACAAATTTGTGCCAAACCACTCTTTATAATGGTGATAGAACATTGTGAAGGCTAAGAATACAAAGAATTTATTAGCAGAATGAGAGTCAAAAATTATGCACAGATCAGAAACACAGAGTATTATAGGAGAAAAAACAATGAGAAAACACTTAGTATATAAACAAGTAAAATTACATTCTCCAAGAGATCATATATTTATTTTAAAGGAGACTTGAATATGCTTTCGCCCAACAAGCAAAAACCACTGCTAATCCTGTCTTAATTTCTAATATTCTTAAATTTATAATAACAAGACTGATGCAATTAGATTGTTTTAGGCACTATTAATAAGAAATGTCTTATCTAAGACTTGCAATGATTTCCTTAGACTTTCTATTATTTTTTCAGAAGCACCTATCCATTTATAATTACTGTGGCTGCACTTCCTTGCCAAGGAATTCAAATGTAAAGCAATCCTGCTTGTATTTTCAATTCAAACCAAGCTGTATTAATAAAAAAAGAGTATAATTACTTTCCATTATTTTGAAGAATGTGCATACATATACATATGTATCTATATTACATCTACAGCAAAACTTGTGTTCAGGACATATAGTACAGGTGGTCAAAACTAACAGAGGGAAATAGCATAATTTCGAAACAGACAGCAGCATACATTTAAAAAGAATGTATTTAAATGTCTTCTTAATGTCATAGTTTTAGTAATAACAACAAAGTGTTGCTTTATAGGAATTTCACTACTTATCTTTTACAGCTTTAATGGCCCTGCCACTTTCACAGCAGCACTGAATTACCACAGCACTAAAATATATTTCATACAGTGCTCAGAATGCACCTATGAACTGGAAGAGTTTAAAATAAAAGCTAGAAAAGTGTCAGGCCTGGACAAGCTTGATGGTAGACTGCCTTTAGTTTAAGGGAGAGCTTTAGTGCATGGTCGTATGAAAATACTTTAATGGAAAACAAGTTTACATGTTCTAATGAGCAACAAATTTTATTCTTTCATACTCAACAACATTAAGTCTAGCTCCTACATTTCAGTTTGAAAGACTAGTTATTGTTGCGTGTTCAACATTTCCTTCTGGTTTTTACTGTTTTGGATCTCTGAGTAATTAAAAATTAATGCATGACAGTAGAAGGCAGAAACGTGCAAATGTCAAAGATTTTCTTTAAAAACAGAGATAAGTTCAACTGGACTTTGTCCTTATTCTGTATTATTTTACCTATGTTTTCTCCAGACCTTGAATGCACTAGCCACAATGATCATAAAAACTACAAGTATTTTTAAAAGTTTCCTAAGTTTCTATGAACCATCAGAATGTAAATGAATCCATACAAAACAATTACTGAAAAAATATACATATACTGAAAAACTGCATCACAGTTTTTACGCAAGACAATGCTCTACAGCAATTATCTTTAAAATTTACCTGGTTTGTTTCTGATAAATAAGTTACCTAAGTATTTGATACAATCCACATACTTACCTGTTACAGAGTGTGATAACATTTCATACCTGTCTACAGCAAAAGCTGACATTTAAACTACTTCTGCAAGAGGACACTTAAGGTCAACTTCAACAGGAAAATTATTCAGAAGAGAAAGTTTTTTTTAATTTGAAAATTGTCTTCCATCTCATAACATTACAACTTTTAGCACACAATTTTGGGGGAAAGGTTGGAAAAATACTAAAAGCATGTTGTCCAAAAATACAGTAGCGAACTGAAAGCAGACGTTCCTATGGAAAATGCAGATTTCCAACATTCAGTTCAATAGCAAAAATACTTATTCCCTTTCGAGTCTTAGTGTGTTTCTGATGGTGAACTCCATTTTATTTTTGAACTGCTGATACGTCTTTGTTATAGGAAGCTCTAAGCAATTAAGAAGTCTGTTTCCAATGGGATACCTTATACGCAAAAATTTAATAGTAGGTTCAGGATCAAAACCAATGGATGGTATATAACAGGAGCCTGTTACAAACAGCAGAACATCCTCCAATGTCACTACAGACTCACCACCTAAAACAGTAAGAGTAAGTTCTATCATTGATTGTCTATTACATATAAACAGTTACCCTGCATGTTAAGTGCTAAGAGGAAAGAAACCCCACATGAAATCAATCAATATGCTGGAAAAACATGCAGTTATATGGCTACCTAAGAAAAAGTTTAGCAAGAAAAACCCACTTTAGTTAGGCCCAAAAAATCTTAAGTGAATATAAAAATCCCTTCTGGGAGAAAAAGATAGATTGTCTGAAGTCTTAAAGACCACTGTTTTCCATCTAATAAAGGATTTTTCTGTATCACGTAGGTTAAGTGCTGGATTTTTACTTTCTAATTCACAGAAATCCTAGAGCCAATCTTTCAGATATTACCCCTCCAAAGTTTTGGGCAACAGTTTCAGAAATTCTAATTAGTAAAAAAGAGGGGGAAGAAGTAACAATTAAGAACTGATAATGACTACAAAACCTTGATTTATTTACACTACTGAACGCGAAAAATAAAATTCTGTATGTATACGAGCAACTAAATAACCTGGACGGGGAGGATTTTTTAATTAAAAAAAAAATTACTTACTTTCCACATCTTGCAAATAGCCCATCCAAAAATCAGCACCTTCAACTTTATTTACATCTGATGAGGAATGGATTGTAAAGAGATCACAAACAGTTTTTGCTGAAAGTCTTTCGGGTTTGTGGCACATTATGCTAGAGAACACATCTGGGTGCATTTGCATTTTCTCTAAAACGCCAAGGGTTTTCAAACCCTGCCTAAAACTAGGAGAGAGGGAGAAAAAAGAGTTGACCATGCATCAGAACTCTGCATTTTATAAAGCTGCAAGATGGGATATAATAAACTTCCCCATCTCCAGTCTCTAAATCTTGTCAAGAAGGTTACACAGTACTCTCCCATTTTATCTTGGGAAACATGTCTAACTCTCATTTTAACAATCTAAATGTTTCTGAGCTTTTTGGGGAGATTAAAGAAATACCAGTGATATGTAGAAATGAACCTTATTTCCTGGTACTTGACTGTATGTACAAGGTATACTTCTAACTTCAGTATGAAAGCATAGCAATTATTTTCCTTACAAATCGCTCTTTGGAAAACAGCTTAAATTCTTTATCCAAAGACAAAATGAGTTGCCTTAAAATATAGCCTTTGCTTGGCTTTTGCAAGTCTGCACGTGCTTACATGCTATTATTTGTGCCTGTAGCAAATGCAGACAGCAGCATCCTGGGCTGTACGAGGAACTGTGTTGCCAGCAGCTCAAAGGAGGTGATCTTCTTCCTCTGTTTAGCAGCAGTAAGGCCACACTTGAAGTGCTGTGTCCAGTGCCAGCCTCCCCAGTACAAGAGATAGGGACTGGAGAGAGCGTGGGGAAGGGTGACTAGGATGATTAAGGGACTAGAGCATAACCCTATGAGGAGAGGCTGAGAGAACTGGGACTCTTCAATCTAGAGGAAGAAAAGGTTCAGGTGGAATCTCAACATGTAGAAGTATCTGAAGGAAATGTGCAAGGAGGTCAGAGACAGGCTCTTTTCAGTGATGCCCAGTAGCATAGAACATTTAACAGCTAAAATAACCAACTCTCTAGTTACTCAGTCCTTTATAACGACAAGTAATTTCTTGTTCTACTCTCTTATGCCCCTCTTAAGCCCATCTCCCAAAATGTACAAAACTCCACTACCTCAAACAAATGAGCTAATTATTGTTTTACTTTTTAACTCATTAATTTTAAAATACGGTAATGATTATTCAAACATGCCCGAGGGCCTTGACTTAAGGACTATGAAGGTCTGACCTTCATTAAAAAAAAACATCCTCACATTAAGAATCAGTTTTCATAGCTCTTAGAGATTGAGTTGATCAAATTTGTCAAATATAACACTATATGTGAGGTTTAAATCAGGCTATGCTTGTTGGAAAAATTAGCATCCAATAAATTTTTACCAAGCAGATGAAATATGTGAATTGGAAATAAGGCCAGAGACCAATCAAAGAACAGTCAAAAGCTGCAACTTTTCCAGCTAATGAGGTCATCACTGCCTCACAGAAACATCAATGCAGCGCTTATGTTCTAAGCAGGCCAATTTACACTTATTGACAGTATTGTACTCCTAATGGCACACACAAACTCCCTAATCAGAACGCTAGAAAATTCACTTGAGTTTTAAATGTACGTTAAACATTTCAAAAACGTAAAGATTCTAAACTCAAGCAATTCTGAATTAGAATTGATCACAGGCTAGAGAAATCTTATAGTACAAAGGTATTTGTGATATTGTAGTTTAAAAACTGTGAATCTGCCTTCTTCATAAGGCTGAAAAAAGAATATGACCCAGGGAGAAGTCAGAGCAGATATGTAGAGAAATAATTTCAGTCTTTTGGTTTAACTACCTAGTTAACAGCTGTTACTTAATCAACTGAAAATTACAATATACTTTAAACCACTACAGTGGTTTAAATGGAGATTAAGTAAGAACATGTGAAAGTTAGTTTTAGCAACATATTATTTAGAGTTGCAGTGAGGAAAAGAACCAAGAAGTTCAAAAACTCAAGCCAAACAAACCTTTCTAAGGGTAAAGTAACTCTCTTGATTACATAGGACATCAATATGTCATTCACCAGCACTTTCTTATCACACAAAGCTGTTACAGGTCTTAAACATCCAGCAGCAGCGAGGAATTCACAGCAGTCCTGTAGTGTAGACTGTAGGCTGGACAGACTATTTGCATATTTTATCTGCATAAAAAGATAAGTTAGGCACTTGTTTACTACATATGTGTGTGTATATATATATATATGTGTGGAAAATAAGCCTTTTAATTTCAACAAAATTTTTATTCAGTAAGTCCTTCTTTATCTCCAAATAGAGTCTTGAGCAAGAACTAAAATGAAACTTATTGCATAGTACCTTTTTTATTGTTTGTGCTACATCATCATCAGCAACATCTTCCAAAGCTGGCTTCACATTCTCTGGACCATAGACAAGACAATTGAACAGTGTTTTGGAAAAGAAACCAGGAGATGGACCACCATGAACCAGAGAAACTGCAATCATTTTACCAGCTTCAAAATAAAGATTTTCTTCTAGAGCTGCAAAAAGAAAAATATGTTTATTTATATGCATAGAAATTATTTCTAATCCTCATTTTTTAATAGCAAATGTCATAGTGCTTTTTTTAATGACTTTTTCTATCTTCTGATAGTTCAAACTATAAGACCATACTTTTACATAGGAGTACCATGTTCTTTTACACCAACTCTTCAGTCACTATCAAGGTTTGGGAGATGTAACTTCCTCTTCCACTTTACACACAATACATATTTAATTCTGAAGCATAAGAACTCAAAGAAGCTAACTTGGGGTCTTTGGGGAGCACGCTATGAGAAAAAAATCTAGAAATTTGAGGAAAGATAAATAATTAGCAGAGAAAGTGAGTTCGGAAGAAATTAATTTAAAAGAGAACAAATAGAAGTTTTTAATTAGTGTAAGTTCAGTTATATGCTGTTTTTCAATGGTTGTCATCAACTTTTCCAACCAACCCAATTTTTCAAAATTAAAAATCCACACACCATCTCCCTTTAGAATTGAAAAAATAAAAA